TATGTTTGCTCCCCCCTCAAACACCAGAACCTGACATCACCACGGCGCAGTGGCTCACAGTGGTTTTATGTCTCTAATCTGGAATCATGGAAATCAGTGAAATGCAACTGTGAGAAATACCCTTTTCTACCCAATGACCTTGGGAATAAAGGACATTGCCTTGGGAGTTTGGAAGCTGATGCCACAGAACTAAATGCTACAGAAAGAGAAACACTGAGAATTTGGAGAGCTTTTTACACAAGCTGGTAATACGTCAAAATCTGATTGTTAAGAAACAACTACCCAGTTGGGTGGTGCCCAGACAAGTGGTACCTTGTGATAAAATTGTTGATTTGTGTAATACTTCCTTGCTGGAACACTGGTATGTCCATGAAAATGTCAATTCTGTTTCCATTAGGAACTGCAACAGAGAAAGGCAGCTGGAGAGTTAACAGTGTTCCTTGAGCCCGAAACCTGCTGCTACAGATGATAACACAGACAGGGCACACGTTCAGGTTCTTCAGTTTTTTTCACTTAAGACTGTGCAAACACAGGACCAACGGGAGAAACCAGATCTGCAGGCAGACAAGACACTGGGGGAGCAGCTTCCCACACTCGCTGTGTCAATGTGTCACGACCTTGCTCCCAAGGGGACACCTTTCAGGGGACAGCACTTCAGCCTCCTTGCTCTGTCAGTCATGCATCTGTCTGACTTCACTTGGAAGCTGGCTCCAGGCTCAGCAAACACTGCCAGAGTGGTGATTTAGGAATTGGACTGATACTGCCAAGTGGCTGTGCATGGATCACCTGCTGAGGACAGCCACCAGGACATTAGCAGTGAGCGTTCAGTTCAGTTATCTGGGCCAGACACAAAGCACTGATCTAAGGAGAAGCAGCAAGTCACTCGCAAGATACATTTCATGTTGCTTACTGGGTACTACACTATCCATGCTTAGTAATCTAAACATCCTCATTGCAAAGACATTTTCTAGGCACTCAACTGTGGCTAAATACTTCTGCTGTGTTGTGTTTCACAACAGCGAGCAGCATCACACTGCAGAGAAGTTATTAAGCAAGCTCTGGAAATCAGTTTGTTTAACCACAAGTACAATAGCAGGGCTTAACTGTTAGGATTGTGGGCAACATTAGTAGTAACATCCATATGATTAAAGATATACAAATAAGCAATCCTAGGCCTGGGTTAGTTAATAAGAACATCTATTTTATTTATTATAGTTCAAGTGGAAGTAAAATGGTATCACTAATCTAAACACAATAATCTGATCTCCAGATGGTAAAATGGCTGGTCATGCACCATGTTGAGTAGCATTTTCTCGTGCCTGTTTCTGATGCCTGTAACTATTTCACCTCTTAGGTCCATGTGGAATGTGCCTGTAGCTCTCAAGACAGCTGAAGCCAAGGTGACTAAATAACACAAAGCTGCAGAATACTGTTGTAGTTTTATAGCTGGGGCACTTCTCATCCAGTTCCGGGTGAAGACAAGGAGAAGCCTTTTGAAACAAAGCTCCTGCTCATGAGGGACTCCACGGATCAGTGTTCCAACAGGAAGACATTTAGTAAGTGCTGGAGCCCTGAATTTAGCTGTGCACGTTCCTGATTCATTTGGACCTTCACAAGGGAAAGGCAGTTATTTTTCCATATAGTACAGTTACTGTTATTAGTTAACCACTTAGGCTATTAATAACTATTTTACTTTGTTATTAATAACAATAACAAAGTAAAAAAATTAGAAGTTTTTAGTTGCAAGTTAGTGAGGATAAAACTGTGATTTTGAACTCTCCCCTCAAGCCATGAACTAGGTTGAAAAAGCCAGTGAACAGAATCCATTAAAGTTGCATTTATTAAATGCCCACTTGTATAAAAAGCTAAAAATAGCATTTGAGTTTTTCCAATTTTCTTTTCATAACAGTTATGATCATTTTCTGCTTCATCTCAGAAAGTCATTTTGCTGCTGCTGTAGTGTATAATCTGTGTGCCCTTTCTTGCTGCAGTACAAATGACTGAACTCTAATCAGATCAGAACAACAATCACGTCATCTTTGAGTAACCAGCAATAAACTGTTTTTACAAGGAAGAAAGATGAACTATTTTTAGGGGAACTCTGAACAGAAAACCAGTACTCAATCTTATTCTACATCCTTGCTATGAATGTCAAAAGCATTGCTTACCTCTGGGCAGCAGGCTCATCCATGTAATACATCTTTGCATTAATGGCCTAGTAAGATGGGGTTTGTAGGGTTTTGTTAAAAGTTTTCAGTTGAAGTATATCAAAATCCCCTTTCTCCCTGCCCTGTCTAGTGACTGTGAACCAGAGGCTGACTCCTAACTAACCTAACTGCCCATTTTTGGTGATTATCCCATGTTTTCAGCATGTCTCATCTCTATTTGTCTGTGTTATTTTACTGTTGCTGTCAAGCATTCAGCACAACCCTCACCCCGGCCAGTTTTACCTGTGCCTGTGTCCTACACACCCTTCCATCCACACTCACTGCAAATGTGTAAAGGGGAAGCCTGCTGCTTCTCCTTGTCCTGGGAAAGCTCAGTGCAGCTGTTGAGAAAGACTATCTTCAGCTATTTGGCAGCGTGGGAGGGCTTACATGAGGATGTCCTGGGAATCTATGGATCTGAGACCCTCTCCTTACACATAGCCTGTGGTTCGTGAACCCTTTGGTGGCATCCAGAATACATTTCATTTAATGACCCATTCAAACTTCTTTCCTGTGGCCCAGCAAGGCTCTTGTCACTGACAATTTACCTTCTTTCACCTAAGAACTGTAGAAAAAAAGAATATCATGCAGTCAAAATGTAGTCATCAGGTTTTATTTTAGTTCTGTTAACAAATATATTGAATGCAAAGCCAAACTAGGAACTATATAACCACCATACTCTCTTCTTGATGTAGAAAACAGCAGATCTCATAGTTGGGTATCAGAGAAAGCAGAATGATTTTTTAGGTCCTGAAAAGACATTCTGCTTCGGGCAGGAAAAACTAAGAAGAACCCCAACCACCAAACGAACCAAACCCAAACCTATCTAGAAGTTCAGTAAGACAAGAGACTAAGGGCAAACAGCCACAGTTTTGGTCCTGCAGACTTATCTCTCTGCTTCTGATCTCATTGTGGCTGAGAGGCGCTCACCCAAAATGCTGAAGCGTGAAGGACAGTTTCAAGCCTCACCCACATTCCTCTTACCCGGGTCAGCCCTGGGTCTCGTGAGGCAATATTAAGGGCAGTGACACTTGCCTGTGGCTCGCGGGTCAAAGCCAGGGGACACACAACCTTCCCTGATACCTGCTCTGCTCACCCTGACACACACAGGACCCGCTGTGCTGAATTTACATCCATCAATAACCCTCTTTGGGTGGTGTAATCACTTTGAAACCACCCTGCACTGACAAAACAGCACAAAGTGTCCTCGGTGGAGAAAGCTTTTAGTCAACCACCGTTTACCTTTTCACAAGGGCAACTCAGAAAACCAGAAGGTGAATGTGCAAAAGAGATACATTTGTTACAAACAGCCACCAAAGATAATGGAACAAAGCTCAGGCTCCAAGTAATTGTTCTCAGAGCCTACTCCTGACGCTGTAGCAATGAACTGTCTCCTGGAAGCACAATCACTGGAATTCAACCGTGCAAGGAAAGTATGACGAGGAGTGTGCCGGCGAGGTCTGGGCAGCTCAGAGCCAACGGGGCTCCGTTCTCACCAGTCACACTGGGTGAATAAAGACAATAGGGAAGGAGAAGGCCAAGCCAGGAGGTCGGCAGTTACACAATTTCAGGTCCCAGGCCTTGCAAAAACATAACCTTAGTGATACAGAGTAAGGAGCAGAGCAATTACGTAAGTTTTCTGTGACCCTGGAGAAGGATTTCTTTCCCTTTGATCTCTCTGCAGATGCATGCCATTCCCAGCCTCATAAACCAAAGATTTACGATGAGGTTCACCCCAGAGCAGCTCTCACAGCAGATCTTCCTAACCACATTATGTTGTCTCCTAAACAGTGGAGCAAAAGCTTCCGCGAGTGCTGAGCTGCTCTCGTTATTTATCCACCAAAACCAAACATCATACAGCAAATTATAGAAATGATGAAAGCAACAGTATTTACTGAGAGGTTACCTTTAAGAAGCCAATGCAATGTCCTCCCACTTTATGTTGGTATCAGGAGTTCATAATACAAGCCTGTCTTTACCTCCTTCCTGGATGACTTGACCAATGGCTGCTTGGTTTTGTTGTTTCAGAAAACATTCCCTCTTACATTCCATTAACTGCTCAAAATCCTGCCACATCTTAATTTGCTTCATATTTGGACCGTGATTTTCCCGGACAACTTTCTGCTTCTCACGTAATTTCTGTTAAAAATACAAAACTATTAGTTTCTAGGATGGTTTCGTGCCACAGGAACTGCTCACAAAAGCACCTTGGAGTGACAAACATTTTTATATGCTACTGAAATATTATTGTGCTCAAGTTGCTGACACTCTCTGCGAGTGATAAATGCATCAACACCTGGGATTCGGATCTTTGTGCGCATTGACAAGTATTTCAACGGTTTTAAACTAATAATAGTCTTCTCTATCTGAGAAGTTATGCTAAAATCTGAGCTCATTTCCATACAGAGCTCTTGCTGTATACAGCTGCGACCTGCAATGGATTCATATCATAGAATGATGGAGTGGTTTGGGTTGGAAAGTCCTTAAAGCTCATCCAGCTCCATCCCCTGCCACAGGCAGGGACACCTTCCACTAGAGCAAGTTGCTCCAAGCCCCTGTGTCCAACCTGGCCTTGAACACTGCCAGGGATGGGGCAGCCACAGCTTCTCTGGGCACCCTGTGCCAGTGCCTCAGCACCCCCACAGGGAAGAACTTCTTCCTAATGTCACTTGAACCTTCTCTTCTCCAATATCATGACATTATGAAAACAAAATCAATGCTTTACAATTAAACCCACTATTAACAGTGGCACCCCAAACCTGCACAGATTGCTCAGAGACTGACTTAGAAAAAGGAAACTAATAAAAGAAAGCTGTTTGGTGTGAGCTGGGAAGCCTAACCTCAGCCGTGCTCATCCGAGCTTCACGCAGGATTAAAAATGGACAACTGCTTTTGTTTAACACTGCTGCGCTGATGATCCCTTGGCCTTTAATAACAGTGATCAGGATGACAGGCTCGAAATTTATTGTCTTCAACAGGTTGCTTTATATACAACATAAAATCTGAGCTGGCACAGCTCGTTATACCCATGTTTCAGTTTCTTATCCAAATGGTTTTCAGGGAATGTGCTGTCATGTTAAGCTGACTATCTTTTGCAAGTGGCTCATGCTACGCTCTGCAGGAAATCAAGCCCTGAGCATGATCTCTTTTCAGGGTATTAGTTACCAATGCCAGCAGTAATGGAATTTCTTTGTAGGCTGCAATATGCTTTTTATAAAAGACTGACCACAGCCTTTGGGAATAAGCCCCACAAAAATACTGCGCAATGTTGTTACAAGGTAAAAACCTCATTCTTACCTTCCCAAGGTTTTCTTGTTCCAGGATCATTCGTGTATACTGTTCCCTAAAGGAAAGACAAGATAAGTTGATTATGATTTTCTTTGGTTCTGTGTAATAGGTCAGAATAATGATGCAGGCACAGAAAATAATGAAAGTATTGGGAGGTTCATAAATGAGAGAGGAGGCAAGAAGAGACATTTTTGTCATTGGACAACACATCCATCCCCTGCATCAGGATCAGATCTCTCATTCTCCCACTTGTGTATTTGGGGTAAGTGACACTGGAGAAGATCTCTTACATTTTTGAAGCAGGCATGAACTGGGGAGACCTTATAGCAGGTCCAAACCATTCTATGATTGCTGATACATGATCTAGATATATGATTCTATCCTTCCAGCTTGAAGACAACAGAAGGATCGTTCAGATAAGATGTACTCGATCCCCTTCTGATAGTGCATTTATCCTGGTGATATTTTGAGGTCAGCCAGTGGCCTCACTTGTACACGTGTCAGTTTACAAATCCACAGCCTTTAATTGCTGTGAATGTAGTGCTGGAATGAGTGGGAAAATACAGGAATGAAGGGGAATAGCATTTCACCCCAGGTGTGGGGTGCGATGGATCCGCTGCGCGTTCCTCACTTTCAGAGAACAGCCGTCACATTTAGGTGCCTAAATATAGGCTTAGAAGCATAACTGTTGACATTCATTATTACAAACCTTGGCTGAACACCTTTGTCTGTAACAAGTGGCTGGATCACTTTGACATACGCAAACTTGATACATGAAACCTGACAACATATTATGCAAACCATAACAGCATGGTTCAGATACATTGCTACGTACTTATTTAAAAATGTGGCAAGAAAAGTCACTGATTCACCTGAAAAAGATGAGTTGTTACATCTGGTGTGTAACAGGTACACTTAGAGGCTGAGAGTTTGCTAAGTTATAGAATTATAACTAACCCGGCTCATCTGAAGAGCTTTCCACATTGCTCAGGGAAAAAGACCTTTGCCTAATCCTGATTTCCAGAAAGCAAGCTCAGTCTTCCTGACACTGGAGTGGGAAGGTTTGCTGGAGCGTGGTGAGCAACCGTGTAGAACCAAGGCATTGTGCTGCCTCTGTTCCTTCCATTTCCACCACGTACTCCAGGCTCCTGACTGCTGCCCCTGGCCCTGCCTGCCATGCTCCCTGCAGAATGGATGTGCAAGGAATGAAGCTGGGTCACTTTATGATCCCTCCCTCTCAGACACCTCTAACCAGAACAAATCAGTGTCCCCTGAGGCTGCTCAGCTGATCCCTTCCAGCCCTCACCAAAGCAGAGATGGAAAGCCAGACTGCACCTTAATTCCACTGGCACACAGCAGATGTTCACATGCATTTGGCCTCAAGAACACAGTTGTTATGGGTTTTTGTAATCAGATTTTTCAAAGTAATCATCAGAAGATTGGATGTCTTTCCTACGAAGTTTTTCTTTACTATTTATAATGATGACTGGAAAGAATGCAACTTAATAACTTCATCAAAAAAGCCACAACTTTCTATTTTTAGAGAGGAAAATTAACTTTTCACATTCCTAAGAAATGACTCCACAAGACAGAAGGTTTATATTCAATAAAAGGGGTCAGAATTAAGACATTTTTTGTTCAATACGTTGTTAGGGAAGTGCTGTTCTATTTGTGGTTCATTTTTACTCCGTTTACATTCCAGAGTCTGCTGAAAATACACTCACATTCTAAAAGGATGTCTAGAACAAAATCTTATCGTCTCATTTGAGATGCTGCAATTTGCTGTGTTGAACTTTTATTGTAAGTTGTTTAAACGCAACGGGTCTGTGACCTCTTACAGAGGGTCAGAAATGTGTGTAGTCACTGTGTGAGGATCATCTCCCCAGCCTTGCATTAGCAAGTGAGACAGGGCCAGTGGTAATGCTCCACTCGCATTGTCCTCGCCATACCTGGAATGACAGAGCTGGACTCACGCTCAGTTCCAGCATTTGGCTTCCAGGGCTTGTCTGGGTGAGGGCTCACACTGGGGATGGTCACTCCACAAGCACCACAGTCAAGAGAAGACCCTCCCCTTCCCCGCGAGGCCATAAAGGCTGGACCCGCTTCTCCTCTCAGCTGCTTGGCTGAGCTGGGCTGCTTTTCATCCTAATGGATATCCACATCATCATAAGAGTTTTCTCACAGTCGCTTCTCCTTTCACCCTTCTGCTTTATTTTGCTTTTCATTGTCTTTCATTGGATAAATCTTTTTTTCTTACAGCCTTCCACTACTTTGAGGGATGGAATAAGAGGCTTCTTAGCCTCCATTCACATTCTACCTCCTCCCACCCTAACATTAGGTGTTCTGATACTTTTCTTACTCTTATTATTTTTCCTGCATTGCTTACTATGTCATATTTAAACATTTTCACACCTCAGATCCTTGATATTAATCTAGCCATCCATTTCCTTGAGGTCTCTGCCTCATGTTCTAGAGCAGGGGGTTGGAACTGGATGAGCTGTAAGGTCCCTTCCAACCCAAACCAGTCTGGGGTTCTATGATGAGATACAGCTCCACTGGAGCCAGTGCAAGGTGCATCAGGACAACTTCTAGTTCATGAAGGATCTGATGGAGGAAGACCTCATGTCCTGAGGGAATCCCTGGAGTTTCCTCATTCACTTCAACGCTAATTTATTCTTCCCTCTCTTTGAGACGTGACAGACAACTGCTGGTTCTCTCTTCCTGTTATGATGTCAGCACACTGGCAAGTCTGAAGCTTTCAAATGGAATGCAGAATGATTCTTAATTACCTAATGGAGCAGTTCTATCTTTGCTTTGCACTCAGTCATGTTTTTATCCTGGTTTGTGAATGGGACAATTTCGTGCAGCATTTTGGCACATTGTACAGAAGACTGTGCATGAGCCACAGCTCTGCCATGACAGATGACACAGATCCCGTGCAACAATCTATCCCAGCACTGAAATACAAATGCAGAAGTCTAAGAAGAGACCTTCATCAAGGAATTATAATGCTGTGGCTATTCCATGCCTAAATCATAAAGCAAACTGCAGGAACGCTGGTTGATGCAGACTGTGAGATGGAGGGGCACGAGGCAGAGCTGATGCCCTCTCTGCATCAAGCAAACATATTTAGCATTCAATATAGGGTAAAAAAACATCTCTATGACATGGTAACATTTAGACTTCTTAGCACAGATAATTAATCCAGAAAACATTTCAATCTTTGGCAGGACTGCACCATTTAAAATAGAAAATGACATGGAAAAAAAATCAGCAGCTCAGTTCATAACCTTTTGTGCTTCTCTCCCTACCAGGCAAAGGAAAGGGGTCCCGAAAAGCCTCAAAGGATGAAGCAAGTGTCTTCAATGGAGTAAATTAAACTGAATGCAAAGATGAAGGTGAGTGTGATGGTGCAGAACAGTATTCATTCTACTTTCAGTCAGAACTACAAATAGGAGCAAACCAAAATCCACTGATGATGTATATACACTGTCCTCCACTCCTGTACCAGTGCTGGTGACAGCTCTTATACTGGAAAGACAAGTAGAAGATTTGCAAGAAATGGCCAAACCCTGAGGAGAGCATATGGTGGCTCTCCAAGTGGTGGTAGACCTTCTCCTCCTGCACTCTGGAGTCTTGGGAGGGGGGAAACCTGGCAGAGGCATTATGAGTGGTAGAGCCACGCTTCCTGCAGGGCTTCTCTGAGCTTGTGCCAACAGGGGCTGCAAATTAAAACCACTATCTGAGGCCTATAATCTCCAACAGGAAGGGAAAATCTTTTGGTATGTCTGAGAGAACTCTTAGGTTTACAGCAGCATATACTGGAATTCGAGATGCTTATTTTTAGATTATTATAGTGTTTCTAAATTTATCAGGTGAACTCCTCCAGTTCAAATGCCAGTGAGAAAATTCCGAACTTCAGCCTTAGTTTCTGAATATCCTGCAAGTTAACACAAAGGAAATGCATTCATGCACTTACCGAATGGTCTTTCGCCTCTCCTGCGGGTCTGAGGAGACATATGCCTTCATTTCTTCTTTAGCACGCTGCAGCTGTATTTCTAGATTCTATAAAGAAAGAGGTAATTCAATACATATATTATAATTGTTGTTTCATTTCAGAATGAACAACGTGGACCCTTTTGTGATCTTACCCTTTTCATGCAGTTAATGTAATGGTAGTTGCTTTCTTCCTGAACACACTCCTCAAGAAGTCCTTTCACTTCCTGTGGTACAAGAGTAAGATACATCAAAACTGAAGTCCACAGGAGATGCCCTGTGTTGCTCTATAAAGCATAAGAGACTGGAATAGAAACATGCATAATACTGAATTGATAAATTCTCAGATGTTTATATAATTTGGGCTTTCCAAAAGTCTCTTTTGAAGTGAAAGACAATAGATTTGCAGTTTTGGTCACAGTTAGAGATGCTAAATGACTGTTAATGGGTGTTTATTAATATGACTGACTTCCAACAGACACCTCAAGTGCTGCCAAGACTCTCGTTCCTAAGCACATAAGCACATCGTGAGTGCTAAATACAGTTGAGAATAAGCATTTCCTGGTACTCACCTGCAAAATGTGTGTTAGAAGCTACAGATATGTTAATAGTATCAATAATTACACTGAGGAGTATGGAGACAGTGGGTTAGTCCCATCTCTAAATGGTCTATACAAAGCCACCCCAATAATCCAAAGGGAATTCTTGTACCCCAGGTCACACAGTTTGTCAACTCCAAAGCTGATTTTTGGACCATCAGCTGGAAAATGGAATTCTGCTGTTCAGATACAAGGGTTTGCTGACACTCATGTCCAGCTCAATCAGGGGATGTGATTGTCATCATGTGTTAGAAAATGACTAAGATTTGTCTGCAAGAAAAAAAAAAAGCCTTGATTGCTATTGTAAAATAGTTCTTATGGGAGGTCTGCTTCATAGTAGGTTCATCTGTGGACTCTTATTTTGCTGGATTAAGCCATACAAAGGTACTTTAGTGCAGGAAAAGAATTACCTGTATGTCCACCCACACTTTAAATGTACACGTTTGTTATTATGACATCTATTCTGTATGTGGGCAAGGCCCTGAAAAATCAAGTCCAGGCTGAATTCACAGAGGGGATCTAGTGAGGTAAAGCAGATTCATATAAACATGTGAATACTTTCCCCACATTAAAGGACTGCACTGATTTAAGTACCTCCCTTCCTAAAAGTGCTACAGCATAAGTATTTTGTGGTCAAATTCTTTCCCAACAGACACTGTCTAAGCCAGCAGGATTTCTGGGAGATGCACCTTGCTAATCGAAGCTGGATGTTGGTGGATGGACTGAAGTACCACCGAGTTCATTGGTTGCTGGAGATGTGCGAGACTGTAGCCAGTCCACAGCAGCTTCAGGCATGATTTGTGTAGTTGTGGATCACCACTGACTCATTTCCACCTGAGGTGGATTTGTGTTTGCTATATCCAGAGGGAAGCAGGGAAAATGTTGTACCAGAGAGAATAACAGGTTGCACAGTGTTTATGAACATGCACAAGCAAGCCACCACCTTACCTGTTCCAGCGCAGAGCGATTGCTCTCTAACCCTGCTGCACAACTGTTGTATTGCATTTTCTTTTCATCACATTCTTGAGTTAATTCCTTATGTAAAAAGGGCAAAAGGAGACATAAATGAACTCTTCAATTGACTGACATGTGACATTCAGGCAGACGGTGCTGCTCTCAGTCTCACACATCACCCTCAGCTGCTGGCACACTGGCAGACACTTACATAAACCCAGCAGGCATATGGGTGTTATTACGCAGGGGGAAGCCACAAGGCTCCACATGCATACTGGAAGCTCAGCTGAAGACACCACAACAGGGCATATCTCTTCGCAGCCATAGCTTTGATGTGCTTGGTTAGTGAGCAGTGTTTGCAAGAAGAAAGGAAAAATAATCATAGAGATTAAGAAAGGATTAGTTAATTTGCTACCTATGAAAAGCCAGCTTTCTAGTTGTACACAACAAGCCTTCACTGGATTTCATTTGCTGACACTTTTAATAGCACTATTAAAAGGAATTTTTCTGGAAATTCAGTTGACAGAACTGGATTGCTCTATTTACTTCTATAGCAAGGAGCCAACTTAGAGCAGCTGTGGCCCTGAATGACTTCTAATTTTTCAGCTCCCTAAAATGTTGAAAACAAATGGATAAATCTGTCATTCCTACAGACTAATATAGGACTTAGATCAATGTATTCAACTATTTGGATGAGGGATTTGCAATCCATTTCAAAAGGGGAGTGTTAGTTGACATCATTAACTCAGAGATGCAGAAAAAGCTTTGAAACCAACTGGAAAACTCACTTTGCTGCAGTTTTGAACCATGATTTTTAAATGTTCTCCTGGTGCAGTGTTTTGGATTGCTCTAAGGGACAACATTTTCAGCCTAACTTTGTGCCTGCACTGTCAGCTTTAATGAATCCCAGTCTTTAGCATGTTGCCTGTTGCAAATCACTGCTGACCCATTCTGCTATTTCCAGCTTCTCTTTGGAGTTGCTTGTGTTCTGGTACAGCACTACAGAGACCCATAACTGAGACTTCTTTGGGATTCTGATCTTATTTACTTAGCATGAGAGAAGTGCTTCTACTAACCTGGCATTTTTGACGCAACTGCCTCAGCTCTCTGATAACAGGAGCTAGGCTTGCCTTCTTCTCTGCCACCATGCTATTCAGTTTTTTAACCTGAGAGAGCAACAAAATAATATACATGAACACTATGATACTAACAGTAAATTTATGTAATAAGGGATGTGAAAAGAAAAAGAAGTAACCCAAAATTATATAGAGAAAAAATGTGTGATGAAGCCTGAACTATATAGAAGTTCAGGCCTAATTAACAAAGGGAAAGAGCCCATCTTGCAGTGGGGTCATTACCACAAACGAAACTAGTTCTGCTCCCATTGGTTCAAGTGAGAACATCACAGAAGCCCAGGAGACACCCCATTTGCCAGACACCTGGAGAGCTTAAGGAGTAGGGGAAAATGAAGGAGTTGCATAGAGGTGGACCAAGACAAAGGAAAAAATCCTCAAGAAAACAAACAAAAAAAGCTCTGCATAGGTTAAATAAAGTTTGAAAATGCTAAAACAGAATCACTTTAAGTGATTTATATGAAGAGTCAAATTCGATCCAGCTTTCTATTTGAGAGTCATTCTGTTTTAATTATACCACTTCATTTTAAAAGCACCCTGATGATTTCAAAGAATGTCATTTCGCTTTTTGCTCTTTTGCCATATTTTCAAATTAGAAATTCAAGTTCTGTCTTGCTTCTGTGGCTATGTGGGAAGTTAAATTAAAACATGACAGAACTAGGGGCAAATGAAAATTGGGCTACAGAGAAAAACTCAACAGATTTAGCTCTTAAACTTGAGTTTATATGTTTATATGCTGAGGAACCAGATACCCAAATTGAGGAAATACAATAGTTTAAGCCAAAACTCACCATTTCAGACATGTTATCCAGTGTCCGGCCTTTCATTTCATCCATTTCACTCTTTACTGCAGATACTCTTTCCAGCTCCTCCTGGGTGTAACTGTATCCAGAAATGCCTTTCTTGTCCTCAATAGCTTCCTGCAGACACAAAAAGTACACATGGAGTGTGAGCCCATCAAGCAACACGGCAAATTCCTTCAGAGAGCCAAAATACTGTAAGAAATTGGAAAAGGTAAGTACTGTAATCAGTATATTTTAAAAGTGATTAATAATATAACTGCCAGGCAACCCTCACTTCTTATCTAGTGCCTGTACAGTAGGATAGTAACAACTATCCTAACACTATTTGGTCATCCAATGCCCAATGAAATGAACCACAAGGTGAAGTGGGCTTTAGGTCAGGCTCTGAAGCTCAGTATGTAAAATGCGCCTGCTTAATCTGAACACGTAGCAAAACTAATTATTGGAGTCATTACAGTAACACTAATACCATCTTACTAGCAAAGCCTAGCACTACATCACCTAAGGTTTACATTTAACTATATGTTGATGTGATGCTCTTTAGAGATGCTTGCTCATTATTTTCTACAATCTGAAAGCAAAGTGTTGATTTATGCATCCACAATTTGTTAAAAAGCAAAACATGCCTTCTAAAAAGTGCCACATATCTCTGAACTCCAAGTCCATTATCCTCAAAAACCTTTTACAACCATCTGTTTAAGAAAAGATTTGTCTCTTTTCAGACTTTAATAGCAGTGTGTAATTTGACAAGGTGTTATGCCCAGGGCTAGAAGAAGGAGATTTGATTCTATGGGGAAAGAGAGCGCACTAGTCATCTGGTGGGAAGAACTTTATGGAGTCAAAGCTCTGTAGTTTTACTAAGAGGTAGTTTAGGAAAGCTCAGACCTGAATGAGAATATACTGGTGATCACATGCAGCCACTTCAGAGAAAGACTTTGTCTCTGCTGCGATTTCCCTGTGAGATGATCGGTGTGCTGCTAATAAATACTTCATCAGTGTTTATTCCCCTTCCTTCCAGTGGGTAGCAATCATGAGAACAAGCTCTGGTCCTACAGCAGTAGGGGCTTCTTCCTACCCAGGTAGCAGTTCTGGTCTTATTTGTAATTAAACAATGAATGCTATCGAAATAGCATGACATCATCCACTGCATCTCTGTGAGTATCTCTCCAGAGCCTAGCCCATGTAATTTCACACTTTCCATTTTCTTTTAATGAGGCAAATACTTTTATGTTTCAAGATGCAAAATATGTACATATAACAAACAGGACAGAAGATAAATAAAACTGAAGTATTTGATAACAAGAATACTGGTATTGGAAGAAAACACTACAGCAGTGCCACTGCATTTGGGATGCATGTATATTCCCTGAATGATTACAGTTGTGCATAGCAGAAATCCTTCTCCTGCTGTTCTGGCTAGAAAAAGCACTCATCCAGTTTTACATTTTTCACTGACTGTGAAACGTATTTTCTTCTAAATATTCTGGGGTTAGAATGTTTCCTTCCTGCCTGCTCTGTTTTTAAATACTATTCTGATATATTTTGCAGCAGTAACTTGAATCCTATTTGCTGTTGGTAATTTTCAAAGCCCTTCCTATGGATGTGGATACCAGAAACTAATTTAAGAATCCAGCCTTGCTCTAACTGGCGTTAGAGAAGATCTAGCATTGACTTTAAAAAGCAGGGTCAAGCCCCTCAGTCTAAAAAGAAACTGCAGGACAGTGGTGACTGCCTGTAAGAAACAGTTGCTCAACATAAAGTACAGCAGCTTTGCGTAGTTAACAGACAGAAATAAACTTTATGCCCTAATGACTCTTCTACTAATGGCAGCAGGAGACCTGAGGATGATACACACTAGAATCTAACAAAACAACATCCATCTTATTAGAGAGCTGTTCTCAGGGAAGGAAGGGTGGTGGGCTGTGGGAGCAGTAAATGCCTGTATTACCAACTGCTGCTGAATAGCCTCGTGGCGCTGTTTGAGAAGTTCTTCTGTCCTCTGGAGGATACCATACTCAGCTGTAATTTCTGCTACTTCCAGTCGCTTCTTCTTATAAAGGGTGCTCTTGCTCCGGAGCTTATTAACATAGTGTTTCAACTGGGAAGAGAGAGACAGGAATATCATTTAACTTAAAGCAAAACAGAGCCTTATCGCAGACTGTTGCTACATAAAATAGAATTATCCTATCTGGACTGCATATTGAAGATGAAGTGTTTAGAACAGAGGACTGGAATTCAGGATTCCCAGGGTCCATTTATTTTCAGCTCTGCATTTGTTCACTGAGGGAGATGAACAAAACCAGCTCTGCTGCTTTCTGTGCCCTAGCTCACCCATCTGCAATAGCGAGATCCCTCCGTTCCATTCATCACCATTTGACAGCTGGAAAAATAATTACTCTTTGCAGAATGTTGTGAGAATGACAGATAATAAAGAAGTTAATGTAATAGTAATTTGCACTTGTACCAGAGCACCAGATGAGCACTGCACAGCCCCCAAGATCTCTGCAAACCAAGAAACATGATAAGAAAGTGCAGAAAAATTGGAAGAGGGCCTGGGAAAGGACAATCTTTAAGTGGTAGTTCTCAATAGTTAGAATTTCTTGTTCTCTTTCCTTGACTTTTACAGACCTAAATGATATGATTGGCTGAGTTTTTAAAAACAGGAAAAGAAGAGCAGAGTCCTTGCACAGAAGCAGTGAAATGCACCATCTATTTCACTCAAAAGCTAGAATTTAGAGCTTTATTAAAGACTAAGTAAAACAGCCTTACAAATCAACACCTTAGCTAGTTTACACCTGAATCCCTGTGTGCTCCAGTTCTAACACAGATGAATTATCAGGTGTCGAAACAAACATGCAGTATTTTTCTTTGCCTTAATGTTTTCCATCTGTCAAACAGGCTTAGCTCTTCTATTTTACATAAGAGCTATGAGACAAATGATAGTCACAACTAAAAATTGCATTCAGATCCAGAGATGGAAAGTAAATAAATTTATTAAAGTAAATGATGTAAGAAAAGGCTTCAGAATGTTCCTCGATGAGGAGGGGTTCCATGTGTGCAGTGTGAGCATAGAACGGGCGGCCCCATAGAGAAAAGAGGACTCCCACTACCACTGATACAAGTTGAAAACTGAAACATACAGGAACTTTGGGTTTGAAATTTACATTCATTTTTCTTTTTGCAAAATTATGCCTCTCCTTTCCAAAGACTAAATCCAAAAAAACTGGTGTGACCACAGCCTAAGAACCCCCAGAGTAACTGTATGTTCTATAAAAAGTGTCCTGGGCACAATGCCCAAAATGAAATCAACCCTGTTCATCTGCCATCCTGCGCGATATCTAGGCCAAAGCTGCTTCTCTCTTGCTATGCTCCAGAACTATTTTTAAAGCCAAAAGCTATAAACGTTTTTGGTGAAAGAACAAACCCACAAATTACTCAATGTGCTCTATGCAGATTGGACTATGCGTGGCTTTGGAACACCGGTTTACATTGTGTGTACTACCTAGGACAAGGGTAGACAAGGTCACCTAAGCCACAGCAGTGCACGGCAGAGGCAGCCCTGTTACTGTCAGCCTGGCTTTGTTAGATTATTGGCACCCTGAATAAAGTATTACCAGAATTAATTCTTTGTCATAGCTCTTCTGTTTCACAGCCTTTTAGTTAATACAAAAGACTTCTTTTTAATTGCTTAGACAATACCAAGTTTTCTGTGATTTCCAAGAGAGTCCAAAAGCGTAAATACCACCTCCCCAACTAACTGAGGAAAAATCAAGAGAAGCACAGTCTTGATTGAGTAGTTCCCAAGGTATTTCATTTGACCAGTGGAATATAGTAAAGAATGATGTAGAAGATTAAACTTACTTAATACGTGACCACATTCAGCTATCAAATCTCAATGGTTTTCTGTCAGTTCAGCCCAGGATGAGAAGCCAACTATTATTCTCTTCACTTCTATAGCTACTTATAAGGTCTTGAAAATAGCTTGAGTGGGAGGTTGAGTATTTGCATATTCAATATTCAAAGCATAATGTATTTCACAATGAAAGTCAAAGGATTTTGTTGATTAAAGAACTGATTCTACCAATGTGCTATTATTAGTTGATTAAGTTAGGACTGTATCATTAAAATTTCATCCAAAATGAACTACAAGTTGCTCACATTGACAAGCAAAACCTATTCAGGTAGAGGATGCTGTCTATCTTTCAGCACAATCTCTGGCTTTTTAAAAGCAAACTCAACCTCTCACATAGCTTTTATTGCAGAAAACGAGACAAAACAAGCTACAAACAACGATAATATCTGTAGTCTCCATCTGCTCCAAAGGCAGCACAGTTCAGCCCCTCAAAATTTCACTAACTGAAGACTTCTTTAGATGAAGGGCAAAAATCAGAGCTGGAGTTATTAGATTTGACTCCATTAAAGTCAGCAACATGTAGGGATCTTACGGCAAAATCGGGTTTCTTCAGCCTAAAAGCTGAGAATCATTCCATAGGTTTCCAAAAAATAAACAGAAGTTGCTTCCAAAATATCAGTGCTTTCACTTGTGTTAGCATTACTTCTGCAGCTTTATACATTTCTGCTCCCATCTATATGTAAATGAAAAATCAAGCCCCTAAAGTGCTATAAACCATCGTACTTTGCTGTGGCAAAAGGTCTTTGAAATAATTTGCATAGTTCCCAAAAGAATAACACTGTTCAGCCATATCACTTTACAGTTAACCAAAAGGAATCTGTTTTCCAGCAGCAGCATTTTCCCATAGACCAGGTCAACTTCTTCCTGCGTAGATAAGTCAGCAGGCTCAACCTACAGAATTCCCAGGGATCGGCCAGTGCCTGCAGTGAGGCACCATTCAAGGCCATGTCATAGAAAGCTTTTCTTTCTCAAGCAACTCAACACAAATAGTTATTTAAGCTTCAAAGATTACATGACTGGACAAGAACCAAATGCTGGCACTGAGTTAGCAGTTAGAGTAAACAAGGCTGGAGCCCCATGTTTGCTAGTCAGGTCAGAGCCCCCGAGATAGAAAAACTATCCAAATGAAAGCAAGGAAGGATTATGCTTTTTCATGTGGCTATTTTTATGGGTGACTGGAACGTAACAAGTGTGGAATCTAGATTATGAAACAGAGTGAATGAAAACAGGGCTTTGGTCTCTCCTACAATGCCCTGCAGCGTGCAGGTATCTATCCCTGTACTATGTTCCGTTATTATCTAAAGGGTTAGTGCTTCACCACTTATTACAACCTGAAAGAGATTGCTGTCACCAGATGAAGTCTTATCACACTGTTGTGAAGTCATTAAGTTTTATGACAATTCTAAACACAACAAGATGGAACCAGAGCTATTGAAATAGCTTCTCTGGGACCATACAGCAGGTTATCCCACAGGAACAAACATAAGCGTGTCAACCACACGCTTCAGCGCATTGATGAACTGGGATCAAAGCCCAGCTCCTCTAATGCCTGGTCTTATGCCTTCACTATAAGCCCATCATTTTGTCTCCTTAAAACTAACATTTGCCCCATGTGAAGTTTTCACATGGTTCTTATTCCCAGATTATCATTAAAGGAGAAAATGGATAAGCTTGTTTTCAGAAAAGAACAAATCCCAGATTAATCCCTTACTTGCAAGAAAACAGTATTTTCTGGATCACTGTATCAATTTGTGTTACAGTAATCAAAATATTCTTCATACAAAAGTAGTACAGAAAGTAAAGTATTACTAAAAACCCCAATCTTTCTGAAATACATAATCTAAACAAGGTTCCAAATAAAGTTTTGTTAATAAAATTACTTGCAGAAGCCCAGTAACTACAGCAGATCTTAGCTGACTATCTCTATTTTTATTAAGACTTGAGGAACAGATGTTTTAATTTTCTAACTCGACCAATTAAGGGGGTACAGAGTGTCCAAAGGATTCAAATTCAGGCAGGAAAAGTTCCTGATCATAACAGATTTTCAGCATTTTTTCCTAAGAGGCTCTAAATTTAAGCGACTGTTGGCTATAGCTAATAACTCCTACACAGGAGGACAAACTTCTAGAAGATAAAGATAGGAGCAGTATTACCTCAATCTATTAAAATGAAAGTATCCCACAGCCTGCTTATTGGACAAATCAATCAGGAAAATTCTTCATTAGCATTAATGAGGTATCTCTCCTAGGAGAGCTTGCTTCTAGTCAGGAAAGAAATATTAAAGTAGCCATTACTAATAATTTGGATCAATCAGAATCTTTATAATGAAAACCCATTCTTAGTTATCACTGAAAATGCACAGCTCAATAAGATGGATGATTTATTCATGCCAGTGGGTGCTGAACGAGCATTCAGTTCAGTACAGATTCGTCTGAATCACTGCATACATTTGGCTTAAATGATGGTTCGCTTCTTACAGCAAAAAGCTTCTGGCTTCTGTAAGAACCCTATAGATTTGCCACTGTTGTTCTCACACCCTGATTACCAGCTACTCTCCTATTTTCATGTGGAAGGAGCCTTCGATAGACAGGAATATAACTGGACCTAGAACCTCAGTGAAAAGTTAAGAGAAAGATAGCATATGGATAGGATAACATCCCCTGGGTCCTGGCTTAAGCTGCTTAACATTCAAGTTGTGAGCTCCTTTATAGCTACTTTCTTAAAAACCCACCCACCTAATTTGGAGCCTGGTGGATCTTTCAGGTGGATTCAGACAGACCTGGCAGTTTGAGAGGCACAGTGACAAGATCCATGGTCCAAGACTGTTTTCTCTGTTTGCGAAGTGAAACCCTTTTTGGATTGTTTTACCAGGAGGGCAGGTAGGCATGGATGAAAAAATTAAACTCCTTATGTAAATGAATGTGCAAACTTCACATCTCTTAAGAACCTGACAGGATTTTCCATGCTGCACTCTCAAAAGCACGTTCATTTCAACTACTGTAGCGAAGCACCGCGGTGGCACTGCTGTTCTGATGCCTTGGGGAAGTCTAGGTCCTTGGGGCCCTATGCTGAGCTCTGAAAAGCACAATGCATTGTGTAAAGAGCTAAAAATACCCCAGCTTTACCTAGGATCACTTGTAATTGAACCATCTAGCCTTCTAAGTGTCAACATTTGATTCCCTAATTTTCAGGATCTGACAGCTGCAGTGAGGAACCTGCCAACTCTACCCCATGCTCATTGTGCTTTGTTTGAAGTGCTTAAAAAGATTCTGTAATCCCTGAAACAGACAATTTATTCCTGCTTTTTTTGTGTTTGATGTAAATGAATTGGTTATTCCCTGCTGTTTCCTCTAAGTTCTATCTAGGTGTACAGCCTCTCGAATGCTGTAACATTCCTTTTTACAATTACAGAATAAAGGAGAACACCAGCACCAGAAAACACGAGCCAGGATTGACCTTTTGGTGAATGAAGTGCTAAAAAGACCTCAAGTGGAGATCCAAATACTGGTGTGGGAGCACAAGCTGGGAAGGCATCATTTCTTTGATTGCCAAGTCTTGTGAGTGCAATCATGTAAGAGGGTACATACAGCAAAGTGAGACAGAGAGAAGATGAGAAATATTAGGAATGGGAGAAAAATAGTTCTTTGATTAAACTGTAGCATTCAGATAGATAAAACATGGCAGGATTAAAAGCCCGTTTTAAACTTAAGACAGCAAAGCTATTTGTTAAAAACCTCTCTTCCTTCCTTTTTGAAACTGGAGGAACTAAGTGTAAAATGTGTGTGATTGCAACAAGAAAGCATAAGGAAACCCTTGGTTGTCTGAGAGTGTAAAGTGAAGGTTGAATGTACAACCTTTTTCTGTCCCCATCAAACACGTGTATTGCAGCAGTGACTCACCACTACATTAATCAAGATTTCCTTCAGTATTGGCTTAAAGCTGGAGTAACAAAGCACTGAACCAGAAAACACAAACCTAAGGCATAATATAACAGAAATGAACCTATAGCAAAAGGTTGTCTGGTGAACTGATGAGAGAGAACCTGTTCACTTTTGCTTCCCTGCCAACTTACTTGTCTCATTTATCAGTCCTGTCTTCTCACAACCTAGGCTGAAGCAGGACTGTATCTCTAATATGCATTTGCAATGTAATTAATGTACCTTAAGGAGATACAAAAAGTACAGTACCAAGGTCCTATGCAGCATTTTTGGCAGCAGACACTTATGAAATAATTAAATATCACTATCTCCATTTTCCAGATGAGGAAACTGTGACCTTTGTAAAAGAGGTGATCAAAATAATCAAGAATTCAAATCCTTCCCTGGTTTTTAGCCATAGGAAACACTCTTCTATATGCATTACACTGCTGCCCATGAGTACGACTGCAGTTTACCTAATGAAGCCATAAACAAGCTCAGGACATGTTGTATAGTAGATTGTATAGTCCTTGGGCCAATGTGCAGAAAGGAGTTTACAAAACAGGAAATGCTTCTTATGAAAAGACAAACCCTTCTTATTTTAAAGCTGATGGTTTTGCCCAAAGTGCTGTCATTTGTTTCTCACTCCTCAAAAACGAAGAGGTCAAAAGCAGAACACATCTGAACAAAAGGAATGCAGGTTATGTTCAAAACAGGCCTTGTCTTTTTTCTGTCTTGAGCCTCTTCCTTGTGTCAGACACTTAAATTTTTCGTTATTAAGCCTCATATGAGGTTCCTCCTCATGAGGTTTCCCTCCTGCCCTGTTCTCCTTGAGTTTCTATGCATCAGAGTATGTTATCCTCCCCAAGAACAGGCACAACACGAATTATTTCTGCACATGCATTATCTGTGCATGTGCAGATAATGTAAAACATATGCTGCTGTCCTGGTAATGCATTCTTGTTGATCTATTAAACACTTCTTTCCCATCACGTCATGAAACACAGACTGTCTGCTTTCTGGCTTTCTTTTTCTCTTAAAATTTATCAAGGACTCTAGCAACATGCCCCATAGGGTTCGAAACCTTGTAGTGGAGAGAAATCTAACGCAGTGCTTGTCTTATTGCTTGGAACACCCTTGGAATGTGTATAGAGTGTCATGGTAAGAGAAATCAACATCTCAGTTTTTCAGTGTCTGTGCCATTACTTCCACCTGTAGTTTCCATCTTGATGTACAGAAGAGGAGAAAGACAAAAGGCATGAGTTAAATATGCACGGATTCTCTATCACACAGGAAGCTTTATGCATGGGTGTACACATACACATTGCTCCACTGGCTTTATTCTTTAAGACTCCAGAAAACTAATGTTTGTGGAGCGGGCATGTCCTATGGGAGTAGGAAGGGAGTTCCTGCTACAAAGGGCGTTCCCTGGTTTGAGCAGTATGCAAAAAAAGCACAGAAATAGACAAAAGAGAAGGAAAGCAAAGAGTGTTACTCCTGATAAATGGCAGTGCTAATGAAGGGAATACATGAGGGTATGAGAAGATATATTAAGTCAAAGAATGACGCAGCTAAAATACTCCTTGTTTTAGTGAGTCTTCCTGGAAGTACACTTAACAGGCTTTATCCAAACAGAGAATTACTGTCACCAGGAAAGTCAATTCATTTTCCTGACAAACCATTACCCAGCTGCAGCAGCCATATTCCCTGCAAACTTCTGAAGAAGAAAAAGCTGCTTTGTGAAGTACAGCTTCAAATATGACTTGCCTGAGCTACAGTGACTGTGCTAGTCAGAGGCTGTGTTGCAGCTGAGCTTCAGGAGGGTCTGGGAACATTTAACTCAAAACACGACTAACTGCATTTCTGATATTGCTGATACTATGCTTTATGATCATATATCATATAGAGAATGCATAGTAATGAAGATTTTTATTACACATCAAATAATGTATGTGATTTTTCACTTGAACTCCTAATCAATGAGTCTTGTTAACTTTTACAGTTAGTTATTTGCCATCACTCCGTTGTGATATTGATGTTATTCTGATCCAGAGTCTGGAATGTTAAGACAGCCCAAGATTAAGTCCCCATATACCTTGCAATGTATTAGCTGCAATGTGAGGAATTGAAATTAATAATTTGAAAATAGCTACAACTCGAGCACTGCTGCAGTATAAGTAATTGAAGGCATTTGAAAGCACTGGACAGCACCTGTATTATCTGCACTTCAAAAAAACCAAGTCTTCAAATAATGATAATTTTAACTTTGAGCATTAAACAAAACAGAGGCCAATGCGATGCAATGCTGAGGCCATGTAGTTTGACAGGATACTATAAAAGTGGATAGGATACTGTAGAGGCAGTTATTGCAATGTAAAGTTAAAAGGAAATTGTGAGTTAACAAAAACCGATCCATCTCTGAAAGATTTCCTCTTCTTTATATCCCATTACAGTGCATACCTCATCCCCTTTCAGAACTTCCGAGCCTTCCAACTCGTGGGCCTGGCTGGTCTTCTGCTGCACCTGCTTTTCAACACTGGACAGTTCTTCCTTAGCAGCCTGAAGTTGTTCAGCCTTGGCTTCCTTCTTCCGGGACATTATAGATGCCTGCGTGATCATTAAAAATGCATATGCACAAGTAAAGTAAAAACTGCCTTCTTTCAGCATTAGGAAAATGTAATCCATTAAATTTCAGGCACTGCACCACTGAAACCACATTTTAACTGTCAGAAACTGTTTTTCATTAAGAAATGTGAGCATGTCTCACTGCAGAGAAAAAAGCATTGATTATTCATTAGATACAGCGGGTTAAACCGCAACTTCTCTGAAGTTGATTGCAGGCTCCCAACTTCCTCCAGTACGGCCGAGATCCCAAAGACGCCCTTTTTCACAGATTCATGTTGATAGATTTTACATTTTAGATTTCCATTTCTTCACCTCATTTTTTCCATTTTCATTGAAGAAAAGGTAGGCATTTCAGCAGCTCCATTTCTTCTACTTAGTCCCTTTCTGTGCATATGTAAGATGCACCAACATGGCTTAACTGGAAAGTTATCCAAGATTTCACAAATGTCATAATACAGATTTTTATAACTCCAACCTACTCCAACCTACAGAAATATGTTATCCTAACAGCAGATCTGAGCCACTAAATCTTGGCAAATAGCTGAAAGACAATGAATAAAGCAATACAGTACAGAAATAGTGTAGATTACAGATTATTCCACTTTTTTTTTGAATCTAGAAGATAGAGCACTTAAAAAACAGTGTTTTATACAAGACAATATTTCATAGTACTAAGATTTGACCAGAAACTGATGGATTTTAGAACATAAGTGTCCTTCAGGACAAAAAACAAACAAAAAAAAAGTATATTCTTTTAAACCAACACAACGGATTAATTTCGATGCACGTGCAGGAATTTGGAGGCATATCTGGTTTCTTCATACAAAAGGGAAAACTTACAAAGAAATGAAGCAAAATACACGCCAGCTTTCTCCCATTAGGTGAAAAAGACCAGCTTTATGTCTAAAAATATACCTATCAGAGCTCTGCTGGGGTAGGATCTCAGCTCTGTGCTCCATGAGGTATCTGCAGTGACAAACTGTGGAATAATATATCCGATCATTGTGTGAAACAGAAGCCAGTCCCTTGCAGAACAAAGCAAAGACCACCACATGCTTTCAACTCACAGCAGCAGCCTCAACTCCTGCAGTGGTTCCTCCACGGAACACAATTATATCCCGAGTCCACTGGTCCTGCTACCAGCACATTATATGGCAGCTTTTCTTTCAGGAGGAAGAGCATCTCTTACAAAACAAAATGGTGCATTTCATATTGCACATGTGACTGAACTGCAGGATGCATTTTATCACTACTTTTTTTCCTCCCACTGATTCATTTTACTTAAGGCTTTTTATTTTGTAAACCATCACCATAAGCATCACCATGAAAGTCTTCAATAAAATTAGCAGTGGTACAGGCTGCCTGGAAAAGAAACCACATTTCTGTGTAAGCTCTGAAAATCTCAGAGTTCATAAATCCTTTTTAGAACTTGTGAATTTACTCAGACTAGACCAGACAGCCTATTTTATAGAAAGACTATTTTATAGCCTCAGGATGAAAAAAAAAAAAAAGAAATCAAAAGATACCTTCTTAATAGATGCAACAGGAAAAATAGCATGTGGTCGAACACAAGCAATGGGTATAACTGAAAGCAAACCTTGCCTCCAGGGCTGGCTGCAGCCATCAGCCCACATGCTGCCTCTTAAGAATCTGTCCACAGCTGGAGCTTTACCAAAATAGCTCCTCCAAAATGATGCTTCCAGAATTCCTGGGATGCAGCTGAAGGGCAACACCTAACAGCATAAGGACAGCAGTCGATACAAACTCACTACCATGACTGAAAGCAAGTGCCTGACTCAGCCCTAAACATACGTATGTTCCACAGCTATTTATTTTCTTTTCGTCCTCCCTTATTCACTGGTTTATGCTAAATAAAGACAAAAATCAGGACGTAAAACAATCAGGGACTGAAATTGCTGCACTGCTTCTGCTTAACAAATGCTTTGTTCCTTCTTACCTGTTGGCGGTACATGGAAAATTTGCTATCAGCTGGCTCATACTTCATCATTCTTTTCTCAATAAGCTGATTCATTTGTGCATTTACTTCATTTATCTGCAAGACAGAGCAGAAAACTAAGGAAATGGAGCTTGCTTTCTTTGTCTTCTCCAAGAATTAAATGCTCTGCAAACCAGATTTTCAATCCAGCTAGTTCCATTTTTAAAACAGAGAAACAAACCCAAAAACCTCAGTGAGTCATTAAGCACCGGCCAGGAAGAGGCTATGGTTTTGCATTTCCAGTTCTGTGCCTGTATGATAAGGCAGAAGCATGACGTTGGCCCTGTAAATGAAATAAACTGGTGTACAGGGAGAGCAAATGCACGTGAATCAGTAAAGATGGGAAAAAGACTGATACTGTCACATACCAGGTGTAAAATGTCATTTTATCAATATTAACTAACATTCCTTTTCACTCAACCATTTATCAGAAGTTTAAAGGGGAGCAAGTAAAGACTAAGTGATACTAAATTCATCAATACTTTGAAGAGTTGCAGGCCATCACATTCCAGCTCTATGGTACCTTCTTTCCACTGCTGCAAAATGCAGTCTCTCCATAGTCTCTTCGCTGGTCCAGAGTCTCAAACTGTTGACGTTCCTTCTAGCGCAAGCTTTCGAGCCTGCTGCACCTGGCAACTCACAGCTGCACCAGTGTACTGATTCCAGCTTTCCCAGTCCTGACTTAATACTGCCCTGGGACTCTGATCAGCCATGGAAACCACAGCCCTAGAAACCTTCCTTTAATTCTCTGCTAACTAGATGAGTGCTGATAAGCAGTGTAAATATGTGCTGAGATCCAATAATGTCAAATTGTACCGCAGGTAGCACTGGGCATTCCCCAAACGCTTCTATGAGCAATACCCGTGCACTTTCAAACCCAAGTATTTCAAATAAAGTGCTCCATAGGACTAAAAATACTCCAACACCTGTGAATTCTGTTCCTTTACAAAAGCTATTAGTGGTAGAAGAGGCCTGAATTTGAAGCTGGCATAAGAATTCCCTTCTGTGAATAAATTCCTAGTTTATATGTTAGAAAATGCAGGACAGTGCAATCCAGATCCTTTTTAAGGCACTGAAAAAACAGAAGGCTGACTTTTAAGAAAAGAAATGCTGTCTAAGGCCATGCTGTGAAAACAGCCAAGTATATGACATTATCTATTTTGGGTTTATTATCTATTAAGAAGAGCATACTTCCAAAATACAACAAATTAAAAGGTTACCTCATGGAGAAAGAGGGGGAAAACCCAACATTGAAGATTTTTACAATAGTGCCAAAACCCCAACAATGCTTTTGGAAAAGAAAGTGCAAAACCAGGTTCAAGTGTGGCTGAAAGAAATAACTGCAGCCACATACACTGCTGTGATTAGAAAACATGTCCTAGGAAAGCGAAGGCTGAACCACAGAGCTGGTTTATTATTTCAGACCTCATCTACCATTTAATAATGCTGCATCCTTAAAAGTCTAATGATCGAGATCCAAAATAGCATTAGGCTGTCACTGACTTTACTTTTGTTAAAAGTAGTCTTAACCTTAAAATAGAATGTTGTCCTGATGACACTTGACTGCTGATTCTCCTCTGAGCCAAGAAACCCGTGGGCATTTCTTTCTTGCATTACTTTGGCATGTTCTGTGTGTGAATGCACAGGCTACTGTGAAGTTGATGGATTTGCTTCAAGACACAAGAAGGATGGTGGATGGCAGCCCTCACACCCGTGGGTAAATCATTCTCTGATCTATTATAAATTCTCTGTTTCCTCATTATCTGTATTTCACAGCAGAGCCTGAGTTGGAGATCCCAGGGATAGTAAAAACCAGCTGGTAAAAGAAGCTGACATTGAGACTGAACAGTGTAGGACTAGTCTTCCCACCCTAGCTAACATTGTTGTAAATATTCACCAGCATCAGTAGAAATACTAATAATTCACATTCATATAAATTCTTCCAGAATGTAATGTTATTTATTTAATCTTTCATTTAGGATCATGCAAGCGTCATTGAGTGAATGACGTTTCTTCTGTGGCAACAAATCCCTCTGCACATTTTGGATATATACTACAAATAAAGACTTTTGCTCATTCTAACACCATTTGGTTTTAACTTCTGAAAAAAAACTGGAAAGGTAAACCAAGTGTTTGATTCTCAAATTTCCTTTGGGCTCAGCAACTAAACCAGACCTATTCCAAACACTAAGGAGTTCTGAGGCACTGCACATTAAAACACAATATTGTGTAGATGTATCTAAGAACATTGTTCACCACTCCATAAACGCTCTCTACATGCTGCTATAAATTCCCTTGATGTCAGTGAGAGTTTAACCAAGTGAAATCTGCAGAGATTTAAAATCAAACCTTTAATGCTAATTTAACACCTCTGCTCATACCAGAGCAAATTGCTAACATCATTTTCTAAATAGCATCTCAGGACATGGTTGGTTTGGATTTGGTCTGGGACTTGTTTTCTTGTTTGTTTTGTGGGTATTTTTAGAAACTTATCTGGGAGTTTGCATTTAGTGATTAACACATCTTCTGTTTTACAGCTGAAGGGATGTTCCTTTGGGAATGAGACATTTTCTCAAGGATATAAAGTAGCGTACAAGAACCTTAGACTATGCTATGGAATACAAATTAAGTGTGGCCTTGGTTAGCTTACCTTGCTTTCAAGTACATTGAGATCAGATTGACTCATAGCTGGCTCTGCAGCCACCTTTTGTAAGATGTATGTTGAATTCTTCTTACTTTCCAGCTCTCTAGGTATTTTTTCAGTAACCAGGTATGTATTGAAATTTATCTCCTCTTCCAGTTTCTTCATTAAACCTTAAAAGCAAATTAAATCAGGGTCTATAAAAGTAACATAGCAGATAATCAAGCCTGATTTCACCAATACATTAAGTATTTAGTAGTAGATTATGATAACAACAGTATAACATTTGCATATTCTTTTCAATGCTCAAAGAAACAGTTACTTGATTTAGATTTTTAATCTGGATGTTAAATAATGTAAGTATTATTATCCATCTGTATCTCTAGCATATGCCTATTAACTCCTTGACAGAATCTTTTCATCAACAAACAAGGAAATCCCTTCTTATTTGAAACTCCAGCTGAATCAGATGCAAAATTCAACATGCAGCACTGACACAGAAAGCCATTAACCTGATGTGCACCTTAAACACATCAACACACTGGATTCTGTGTTACTTATTTTGTGTTGTGAATTACGTTCTTCTAAAATCTTAAAAGTGAAAAGCTAGACTGTGGTTGCTTATGCACACGCTGATAAGGGGCAGCAAAGCATAACATAGCTATACTGTACCCCTTGGAACTTCCCTGGCTGCACAATCCTGAAGCTGGTGCTACTCAGAGATTGCACAGTTCATGTTTCATGTGAATTAACTTTATCTACAGACAGAAATTATCTCAGAGAGAATCCTTTATCTGTGCAAAGATCTTAATTTGGCCTAGCTCATGTATAGATTTGTTATATCCTTGGAAAGTCTCCCTGAAAATAAAACTTGATTCCAATCTGGCATCTAAAAAGCCCTTAAAATGAGCAGAATTTAATGTATGCCTACTTTAAGGGTCTTTTGCATTGCTGGAACACTTATAAATTGCCTCCCTGTAAATAGCACACTATTTTTTTCTTGTAAGAACAAGCATTTACTCTCAGGACAGGATATAGACTACGAATGCTGAAAATAACAATAAAATAGAAAAAAACAAGAAGGAATTCCTGAGTAACGACAAAAAAATCTGTTGAGAAACACAACTCCATTTGTAAGTCTTGCTCTTTACCAGCCTGGTGCACACTTACCATGCTTAGGATGACCTGGCTCTTGCAGGTAATTTATCTTCCTTAACAGATAATTAACAAATAAATACAGGTACATGCAGGTAAGAACAATACACAGCTAAAAAAATGCAGGGATGGGAAAGGAGGTGGGTGAAAGCAGAACTTGTGGTTCTCAAATTGAAGACCTGCTGACCACATCCCTGACAGACAAAAGGAGGGGGTCAGAGTAAAGTGAAATAGAAGCCTAGGAAAATGGGCCCCTGGGGCTTCTAGATCCTCCTCACCCTTTACTCCCAGCTCAGACTGAAAGGAAAGCTACTGGGTTTAGCTGCCAGAGGGGAAATAAGCCATTAGCTCTTGAGAAAGCCTCAAGAACTAGAAGAAAGAAAACAGACCCTAGGGAAAGCAGGGTTGCGAACAATGTCAAGCCAACATAAACTAAAAATGAGTGGGAATTCCTCTTTTCCAGCAGTTTAGTTTGTTGATTTCTGTGTTTATGAAAAGCAACACTACCACAGGATCTTTTCCCCTTTGTGGAAAAGTCATTTATCTTGTGCGACACAAACAGCATTGATACTGGTTTCAGAATGGGATAGTGGAGTTATGAGATGTATGGAAAAGCCATTATGTACATGGCACTACAGCTATACTCTGAGAAACACACTTGGACTTACTGAGAGAGATTTCCCACTTCTTTCTTCCAGAAGAACTTGATTCCAGCCTTCCTCAGCCCACGACAGAGCTGGGCAGGAGGGACCACATTTTAATGTCTCACTAGAGATCTACCACCTTTGCAAATGCAGCAAAGCTTCCCACGTATGCTGTGAGCAGAGTTACCACCTCAGAACTGACTAGAAACACAGTTTGATATTTATAACTGAGATCTTTGGTGTTGAAATCAAAGTGATATCAATTTGATTATTCTGATACTAAATATTAATATTTTAATCAAACTTATTTTGTGTTTTCTTCCTAGTAGCAAAAAAAAAAAATCTGCATCCACAGCCTGTACTTCGTTTCTTCCACCTCTCCAGTTTCCCTCTAAAACTGTACATGCCCCAATGATTTGTTATAGATATGACACACAGGAAACAACCATGCCTAAACAACTGCTTTCATGAGAGTGGGGACATATTCCCTCCACAGGGTATAGCCTTTATCACTATCAAGATCTATTTCTCATGTAACCTCTGAGCTAATACCGACTCCTTTTACACACTGGCTGGTTCTGCATCACGCTTACTCTTGACGGCCCAGCGAGCAATGAAGCGAGTTAAGACTTGACATCTTTATGGGGAAATACATGATGATGTCAACATCCCTCATGACTAACGTAGTTTCTTTCCTAACTACTCTGGATATATTTTCCCTCCTATACAATTCAACATAACACAGGGAGAAGTAACTACCTGAGAGCTACTTTTGCTGCTTAACAGAACCTTAAAAAACAAAACATAGGGCAGCTCTTGCTTTAATCTTTTTTTCATTGAAAAACAGTCTTCTTTCAAATTCCCAGGCTGGAGGAAAGAAAAGCAAGCATGCTTTAAATCTTTCCATTACACATATAAATTCTGTTTTTAATGTTTCAACGTTGACTTATGGTTACAAAATCCACATACGTAAGCTGCACAGAAAGCCTGGCTCCGTGCCCGAAGGTTATTTTAGCAAGGTTCTGCCAACCACATATTTACATGTGGAGAGCTATTAAGAGCAACTCCTCATGTTTTCCATTCAGATTTTTTTATTATTATTATTACAAAGAGAGGGGTGGGAGAAAGAGTTTCTTCGTGCTTGCTCAGTCATGTAGAAGAGAAGCAATTTTCTCTACATAATTCTGCTAATGGACCTAAAACCATTCTATGAAAACTTGATTCACTTACTTCTTTTCCCTCTCCAGGCTACCAATTGGGTGTATCCTGTACCAAAAGGAGACAGAGCAAGAAGAGCACTCATTTTATAGAGTACCTGCCAACAGTTTGTTTAATATCACATACGAAGGCACGTCTAGAACAAACTTCCACACGCCATTCACTTCCATCAAAGCCTTCACTTCCCTGCCTGCAACAACCCTCGCTAAGAGACTATGTAAATTATTCCTTCCACAGCTTCCAGTATTTAGCACAAGGAAACTGGAAATGATATCAGAGGCCTGGAACATGCAGACACTGACCGATTATGATCAAATCATCCCTTTGATATCTTCTTGAAGAACTACAAAGCTTCCAGGATTTGCCATTTTAAGTTATGCTTTCCCATGCTCATCATTATTGATGGTCTTCAAAATCCCTCTGACCTTTCAACATCCTTCCTGAGTTCTGGTCAATGGACACAGTGCTGCAGTGATGGATACATCAGAGCTAAGAAGAGGTAATACAACTCTCCCACTTCATTTTCTTCCATAAATAAATGCACGGATAGCCCCAAATCGTTCAGACCGTTCTCCCATTTTACACTAAGACCCACAAGTCCCTGTCAGAGTCACTTCTTAGGAAAAAGTCCCACATGCTGCAACAACATTGAATATATATTATTCCTAGAAGAGTATTGTGGCATTCTGCTTTTCCTTAGATACATACTGTTGGCATGGGCTTTGCTTCCTAAGCGATTAAGGTCACTTCAAATCAACAGTCTCCTCATTATTCAGTCACTGCCCCTATTTTTAGTTCTCCTGGCAATCTCACCAGTCCTCATCTGCTGTTTTCTTTCAGGTGTCCAGTGTAAATACTAAACAAAAAAGAGCCCAACATTGATTTCTGCATGTCCCAAGTAGAAACGCATCCACTTGGTGATGATTGCCTGATTAATTCTCTTTCTAAAACTTTCAACAAACTCCTTTTAATCCTTTTAACAGAGCCCATGTTGAATTTTTGCTGCCTTGTTTGTCTTCAAAATAGGATGCCAGTTAAGAGTCAATGGTCTTAAAGAAATCAACCACAGCAATACTATTTATCTGACCAACCAGGCTTGAATTCTCATCAAAGACATCAGTGCTTTACCCCTGAGCTTGCATCAATTGACAGTGACTTTATAATAAAGAAATCATTTCAAGATGAAAATAAAGTTCTACCTAAGCCATTCTCCTTTACCAAATACATCTATGATTTTAACTGAAATGTGGTCTGCCATGTTGGTGGAGATCATTTAAACTTGGAATTTTGGGGAAAGAGAGTTCTGTGGGAAAGAAAATTGTTAATGTTTTCATTCAAATGGAATGTTTAAGTAACAGCGTCCTAAATGTCTATTTTTTATCAAGTGAATGGCATAGAGTTCTGTACAAAGCAGTTCCTCTTTGAATGGTACAAAGCAGTGCCTCTTTGAATGGTATCTTTGAAGTTCTCAGTGCTCTAAATCTATTACTACATATTAATGAAGTATATCAATTACACATCTCACTGTTTATCAACAACAATCATGTTAATACATTCTTTTAATCAGTATTTTCCAGCTAGTCATCCACTTCTTCGTATTTCTGCCAATAAAGTGAACAATCATGTCCTATAAAATGGACAGAGATTAAGAATTTCAGTAATTCTGTTCAATTCTGGGCATTAAAACATTTCTGTTTGTGGCAGCAGAGATATTCAAAGCAAAAAGATGGGAATCTTGCTGAGGAAGCACGAGCTAGGTTATCCAAATTAGTGGTCAGTGCTAATAAAAATGCTGTTCATATCTGGAACAACACCACCGCCACACAAAAACCTTAGAAACTCTAAATTCATGTTACTTAGTGCTATCAGAAGCAACTGCCTCTCTGTAGTTAAATACATTGAGTAGTACTGAAGTTAATAAGCCACTAAGGAGTCTGTTGCGGAAACCAGTATGATCATCTTTAGTCTACAAAGCATCTCAAAACAATCACCTGGTTTTCATGCTACAATACAAAGTCTTCTAAATACTCTATTTCCAAGAGTTACAAACCTACTAACCATAAGCTGTACTTTCCTGGCTTAGCTAAAGCAGACTAATGCTAATTGCATACAAATGACACTCATCAATACGTGCTAGTTGCATTCCTTTTCATTTCTTTAAATTACTTCATCCTAAGTTAATTATAGGATGAAGTGATCAAAGCAGCATCTATAAGACACAAAAAAGCTTCCATTCATTATCAACCACTTCTATCATTGTGTCTTGCTTTGGAACTAAAAACACCTGAAGTATTAAATAATAAAATCACTTTAAAGGAAAGTCTAAATTCCAATGAAAATCCACACCTACCAGGCAGCTGCTGGCCTGTCAGCACACAAGCTATACTGACCTGTCAGTACACAAGTTATACCGACCTGAGCAGGCAGCTGAGGGACCAAACTGCAGCCAGAGGGAGTTTTTAAAGTAAAATAAATTGTGTTAACTGTGGCCCAACAAAGCTTTTAAAATAAATGGGATCCTGTTCTGTGCTCTCTGGTCACCTAATTTCAATTATTTCAAACACACAGTTGGCATTCTGCAATTGCTACTACTCTAGTGTCTTTGTAACTACTACAGAGAAAAGCAGTTGCAGAGCAACGTCCTGAAGTCTTTGTTTGGGCAACATTTCAACACAAGTATTCTTGAGTAATGACTCCAAATTTTTCTTCAGAACATCCAAACACTTTTTCCCCTGCAAGCAGGACTCAAGATAAGGAAATTAAATATGTTAACTTTATCTTTATTTTCATCTCAACAATTAAATGACACATTTACTGCCTTTTATTATGTTACCTTTGCTTCTGTGAACTGAACCCATCAAGTTTCCATTGGCCTTAAAAAAACCCCAGGAACTGAAATAGAATTGTTGACACAGCTTTGCTGTATAAACTCTCTGATAGCTACTGCAAAAATGGAACAGTTATAAAATCCACTGCAGGTCCCTTGGAGTACAGAAGAAAGTTCAGATACTCTTAGTTCAATTTGTGGTTCAGC